TTTATTATGTTGAGGAATGTCCCTTCTATTCCTATTTTGCTGAGAGTATTGATCAGAAATGGGTGGTGGATTTTATCAAATGCCTTTTCTGCATCAATTGATGATTTGCCAACTTTCTTTCCCTCCCACCTCTAAAACACATGAACAGTAGAAATCTTAAAATTTTAGATTTAAGGAACAAATATGGAGATTAGGTAGCCCATCTTGTTTCAAGGACGTCCTGTTGTACTGCAGGATAGGTGACCAGTTGCAGCATAAAGCATTATACACAACACTGGTACCACTGGAGGCCCTAGCAGGTTCCCCTGAGTTCTGCAGCCTGGCCTATTCATACCAACGTGACACTACAGCTCAAAGCAAGGAGATGGTGAGCTCCATCTCAGGTCAGTTACCAGCACAAGGCTGGCTGCCACCAAAGTCCCGGGGCAGGGTTTGGCAATTTGAATGGGTGAGCAGGTGACTGTTCCGACGGTGGTGACAGTTTACCTAACTGCCCGCCTCCAGTCCCCCCAGCCATTTTGCCTCTGTATCTTATGAGTGTCTGCTGGCCATTTTTCAATTTCATTGTTTGTCTTTTTGTTGTTGAGGTGTTGAAATTTTCTATAAATTTTAGGGATTAGTCCTTGTCCTGTATGTTGTTGCCAACCTTCTTTTCCCAGTCTGTAGGTTCTCTTTTACAATCTTTTGGTGAAGTCTTTTGATGTGCGTAAGTATTTAATTTTTAGGGGGTCAAGTCATCTACTTTGTCTTCTGCTGTTTGTGTTTTATAGTTAGGTTTGATAGTGTATTTATGCCGTGTGGTACAGTCCTAAGCTTGCCTCTCTTTTTTCTTTGATGATCTTTGTGGTTTTAGGTTTTACATTTAGGTCTGTGATTGCTCTTGAGTTAGTTTTTGTATGTGGTGTGAGATAGGATCCTGTTTCATTTTTCTGCAAATGGACATCAAGTTTGGCCGGCATCATTTGTTAAAGGGACTGTCTTTTCCTGACTTAATAGATAGTGTAGGTGGATGGATTTACTTACAGGTTCCCAGTTCCATTGGTCTGTTTTGACTCAAAAAAAAAAAAAAAAAAAAAACTCACTGCCATCAAGTTGATTCTGACTCATAACA